TTGCCGAGTCGCCTCTAGACGGACCCTTTCGTCGACTGATCTTCACTTTTTCGCTCATCTAAGAAGCAATTGGACCGAATTAGAATTTGTACAGTTGTACGATACAATAGTGCAGGAATGTAGAGTTCGATTGGAAATTTTTCATTTATTAATTAGCATTAGATGAGAATGCTTGCGTTGGATTGGGAGTTTAAATTTCTTATCTCGAGGCTTCATTTTAATTTACTGTTTTAATTTGTTTAGAAATTTAAAATTGTAGGAATCTTAAGCTTAGCAAAAAGGCGGAGCGGTCGAGGATATATAAAACTACGGTTAAAGAAGAGGGTGTGTATCGTACTATGTTTCGGCTGTGACTGACTGCAGGCACAGTTTTCGCCGGCGATGGGTATTTTCCCATTTTTATGACCCGCCGTCTGGTCTATGTCCCAAGTGCCTTCACGCAGTCCCGTATCGCACTCAACGCTTAAACAAACTCTCGATTTACAATACCGAGAGATCGGCTCTCAGTACGACAAAAATTAATTTGCGGCTGTAATGAAAAATTTTAAATTCGCCAACTTTTTAAATGATTCGCAGAGTGTATGAAGATGATTTTTCGATTGGTATACAGAATGAAATGTCAAAAGCTTATTAAGACGGTACGAAGTAATTAGGAAGAATTATTTTCTCGCAAATTGGTTCTAGTATTAAGTAGGAAGCAAGTTAAAGTTTCGAGCAGAATATGGTATCAGCTTAGACAGTGTCGACGTAAGAAGCTATTAAGCCCATCAATCTATCTTATTTCGAAGCATTACAGAAAACGATGCTGGATAATGAAGTATCAATATCTAACTTTTAATCATGAATATCTGGCACATTAACCATTTTGATATTTACAGAGAATATTAATACGATGCAAAATATTTTTAGAAAATTTTCTTTCAATTTAAGGGAAATCTCCATTTTCATCTTCGAAATGTAGGTCGTCACAAATCAAGAATTTTCAATTTTCCTTTCTTCGTTTGGAATGCCTTCTAATACTTAGATTCACCATAAAAATTGAACTATAATACTTGAAGTGAGTAACTTTTACGTGACCCAAATTTCATAATTCTATAATTAACTTTTTAAATAGGAATTTTCTTTTCACTCTCCTAAGAAATGAGTAACTTTTATCTAACGTAAGTTTCACAATTCTACAATTAATTTTTTAAACGGAATTTATCTTTTCACTCTCTTCAAAAATTTCATATTGTAGCGTGTAACTAGACCCGCGCCAATAGAAAATAACATCGACACGCACCAATAGGGTGCGAGCATAATTAGCAAATTAGGTACCTGAAGCGTGTACCGATAGGGCACTCTCCACGGTCCGCGCACAGGAAAAGGGCGTATAAAAGGACGCCCGAAAAAGGACAAAATAGGTAGTCCAGGACAGCACACCAAAAGGAAACCCTGTACGCGAGTCAACTAGACATTTACCAGCGAGCTCTGTATCGACGAAAATAAATCTTGTTCAACACCTATTTCACGCTTACGATTGGTGTGAGGTTTGAGGAGCAACGAACCCACAATATCTTCGACGTGCGACAATTTTCTCTCTACATTAAACATTCTATACGTATACATTAGCATAATGGATACCGTATCCAAAAATTTCACGTTTTCCTGCAACATCCAGTTTCCCAGAACACAGCGACACCCAGGAAAAAAAAAAGGTAAGAATTGTTGGAAATGACGATATATTATAGAAAGGGTTGTAGGTGAGGAGAGAAGACAGAAACAGACAGGAAATGTAAGGAAAAGGGGGAGTGGAGCGAGGAGAGAGTCGATTCGACACGTAGGAATCCTGTTTCAGGTACGCGAAGTTGGATGGTCGCGTGACGCCGCCAGTTGTGCCGTGGAGTTGCTGTCGAATCGACGTAAAGGGCCCGTGCTATCACGATCCCCTTCAGCTGCCAAATCCGGAGCAGAATTCCACTTACGAGAGCCTGAACGCTCGGGGCTGTCTCACCGCTATGAAGACCGTGCTAAACGGAACGCTCTATTCCGCCGCGGTTCTGATCGCGTTTCTGTTTGTGTTGCAGGTAAATCAATAATAACGCGCTGCCCGGTGCAAACAATTGCTTAGCCGATTCGGGATGGTCCGATGATTAAGTGCGTTTCGTCCTGAGGAATTATCCGACCAATACTGAATCGCGAAATTTCGTTTCAGGGGAAATCGCGGAATTGTCATTTTTTGGCGGAAAAGAATTTTCACTGAGAGGACGCGAAATTTTCATTCTTTTGCGGAAAAGAATTTTCGTTTAGAGGAAAATCGCGAAATTGTTGTTCTTCTTTAGAGAAATTGGAAACGAATATTTATTAAGTCGCGAATTTTCGGTGAGAGAAAAATCGCAAAATTGTCATCTTTCTGCGGAAATGAATTTTCGTTTAGAGGAAAATCGCGAAATTGTCATTCGCTTTTTAGAGAAATTGAAAACGGATATTGGTTAATTAGCGAATTTTCATTTTGAGGAAAATCGCGAAATTGTCATTCTTTTTTTTGTTTCAAGGAAAATCACAAAATTGTAACTCTTTTTCAGGGAAATTAGAAACGAATATTTATTAAATCGCGAATTTTCGGTGAGAGAAAAATCGCAAAATTGTCATCTTTCTGCGGAAAAGAATTTTCGTTTAGAGGAAAATCGCGAAATTGTTCTTCTTTAAAGAAATTGGAAACGAATATTTATTAAGTCGCGAATTTTCGGTGAGAGAAAAATCGCAAAATTGTCATCTTTCTGCGGAAAAGAATTTTCGTTTAGAGGAAAATCGCGAAATTGTCATTCTCTTTTTAGAGAAATTGAAAACGGATATTGGTTAATTAGCGAATTTCCGTTGAGAGGAAAATCGCAAAATTGTAATTTTTTTACGGAACGAACTTCTTTAAAGAAATTGGAAACGAATATTTATTAAGTCGCGAATTTTCGGTGAGAGAAAAATCGTAAAATTGTCATCTTTTTGCGGAAAAGAATTTTCGTTTAGAGGAAAATCGCGAAATTGTCGTTCTTCTTTAGAGAAATTGGAAACGAATATTTATTAAGTCGCGAATTTCCGTTGAGAGGAAAATCGCAAAATTGTAATTTTTTTACGGAACGACTTTTCGTTTCAAAGAAAATCGCGAAATTGTAATTCTCGTTTTCGTTTCAAGGAAAATCACAAAATTGTAACTCTTTTTCCGGAAAATTAGAAGCGAACATTGATCAAATCGCCAATATTCGTTTCGAGGAAAATCGCAAAACTATAGTACCTTTTCAGAAAAATGAAGAAAAAGACAATAGTAATCGTTGATACGAATATCCCAGAATGGATATTAATTTTGAAATCTTCAAAGCGTCCCGTTCGACAGGCGTTCGCGTGAAAAATGACCGTCATGAGTACTTGCAATTTCATCGTTGAAGCTTTCCGCGGATCTAGAATAAACAGCCGCGACAGCGAGGATGGACGAGAGGTGGCCTCGAATAGCGAACGGATTATCAGATTCGTTGGGAATTATTGATTGCCCGGACGCGATGATACCGCGTGTCATCAGAGCCGCGAACGCGTAATATTTTAAGGTGAAAGGCCGCTTTTCACGCCAAATTTCCAGCTGCTCGATGCAATAACTCACGTCTCCGATATCTCGATCGACGGAAATCAAACTTGTTATCCATAATCGAATTATGTGACACAATTTTAATAAGACGCTTGTCGACACCGCGTTGCAAATCATCGTTACTGTTCTCACGGTGCAGTCTCAACCTCTAAAATGTTCTTTTTATTAAAAATTCCAGTAATTACGATAGAAAAAAATTATAAAAAATTCTACAGAACATTAGATCCCTTTTTTCTAACTCCAAAAAATTCATTACTCGAGAGATTAAAGGGTAGGTAAATGTAGTAATTGAAAAATGAAAAAAAAATTGTAAACAAAATTGGATCACTTTTTTGTAAGTCCAAAAAAAATCGTTCGTCGAGAGATTAAAGGGTAGGTAAATGTAGTAATTAAAAAATTGAAGGAAAAATTATTAGAAGCTTGAAATAAGCAGCAGCGAGTTATTCGGAAGTTAATCGAAAGTATAATACATTAGTTTAGGAACAAGAAGGGTTGCACACGTGACAGAGGCTCATTCCGTCTCCCCAATTTAATTCCGTTTCCCGCATTCTTCGTGCGAGCCACACGAGCCGCGTCTTGATATCGTTAATCCCGCGAATACTCGCGGTTAATTAAACCCACCGCGTCCCATTCACTCCTAAGTTTTTCCTCTATCAGGCGATAGATTAATCCGTTTAAAATTCGCGCCCATTCTTTCCTTGACAATCGGTGATCTTTATCGTTACTAATTTATTCGAACAATTTTATTGGAACATTATAGAAAATTTGGTGTATTTCATTTCGATGCGAACCTAATTCGATAATTTTCAATAATTTCAAACGGTAACACTGTCACCTTAATTAAACTATCATTTCGATGAAATAGGATAAAGGGTATTTCTCGAAAATTTCGATTAACGATAAAATTCACCACCAAAAAAATTGTTTCTGTAAGAAAAAACAATATTCTCAATAATTAAGTAAAAATGTTGAAAGCATCGGTTTACAATGTTAAAAAACACGTCCCTCAATCCCTCTCGAAACCGAGAAATCCGCGATTCGCGTACCAGTCGTAAAGCAACTCTTCTCCGAACCGGCATTAATAGAAGCGTGACAAAATTTCCTCGAACCCTTTCCGCCCAGCGTATAAAAAAGCCACGGTTGAAAATATCCACTCTTCTCGAAACACGAGGAGCAGCTTGTTCGCTGGGGGCGACGAGCGACAAGTCGTCGTAAAAGTCGAAAAACAGCGTTTTACGAGTGTCGTCGGACGCGATAGAGGAAAAATTGCAACGTAGGGAAATAACGTGGAAAAAGTAGGAGAAGCTTCGCTCACGTGTTTCACCTGGAAATTCTCTTGTTTGCAGGTTTCGGTGTGCGTGGCGTCGAGATTCGACTTCACCGCAGCTAGAAACGCCGTGGCGCTCGGCGATAGACGTGGAGCGGCTCCTGGTTGGCTCTATGGCCGCCTGGATTTCGGCCTGGCCAGTGGACCTAATCTCTGCCAGATCGATCGGGTTAGTGGACTGACCGAATCGAATCAATCGTCACTCGACGAACAGTGAGCGAGTCGATTCCAGTCTCTCTCTCTCTGTCTTGGTGAGAGAGGATTGTGTGGAAGAAGGGGTGAATGTTGGAAGAATTTTGCATCGGTTGAGGAACGCGTGGAATGGAAGAATGTGGAATTTCGTGAGGACGGTTTTGAGAGAGCGGGAACAGATTTGTGTGTAATATACAGGGCGAATGGATGAGATGTGTACCTGAGAATTATTACATTGTGACAGCGTGAATCATTCAAACCTTTGTCCTCAAAAAATTACGCTTTAGAGAACAGTGCAATTTGACAGTTGAAAAATAAACGAAATTTTAGAATTTTTTTTTGGATAACTTGGTAAAGATATCGTGATACTTTTGGATTTTATGAAAAGGGACATCCTTGGACTATAATAAGAAATTTTTTTTTAATGTAATTTTTAGTAGCATCGTTGCAAATTTTGTCCCTCACGCTAGTACTGTTTTCTTGGTCAGAGAGCAGTGCAATTTGACGACTCGAAAAATAAGCGAACTTCAACAATTTTTTTTTGATAAAGTAGTATAGATATCGTGATACTTTTAGATTTTATAGAAAGGGACATTCTTGGACTATAATAAGAAATTTTTTTTTAATGAAATTTTTAATAGTATCATCGTAAAGTTTGTCCCTCACCATAGCACTGTATTCTTGGTTAGCGAGCAGCCTCGCACCTGTTGAGGTGCACATTTTTGAGTTTTTCTGCTTTCAATTTATTAAAAAAACGATCGATCTTTTGGCAGTTTCAAACTAGACTCTCTCCTCGATTGTACCAATTAAGAAAAAATTGTTTCACGCTGCGTTGCACCTGAAAAGTAGGAAAAGAAAGGGGATAGCGCAAAAGATAAACGAAGCACACTTTCTTCTCGCGCTGATTAGTCAAATTGCGAGCTTCACGCTCCCGCCGCGTTTCACACATACGCGTGTATCTTCGCCGGCGAACGTCAAGAGATGAAAGTTGCCTCGGACAAACGGGCAAAAAGGAGGAAGGGAGTCGAGGCCAACACTCGTGGTCTAGGAAGTTTTTAAACTTTCGTTCATCGCGCGGCGTCTCCCTAATAGAAGCCCGCGTTTCCGTTTCTTTTAGAGGCGAACGCGTGCACCAGCAGCTTGCCCCTCTGTGCACCTCCTAACTCGAAGAAATTAGAAAATTAAACAAATAAAGCGGCGCCGCTCTCCGGCAAAGTGTTTCGTCGACGAGCACTTTGCACGCACAGAACCAGCGGCGGGAGGCGCGCAAACTTCATTCCGTGGATATTTCGCGTTGAAGTTACAGCCGGATGCTTTCCTTTAACTCTTTTCCACCTGCCAGCCAACTTGCTTGCCAAGAGTTACTCGCGTACGATTCGAGAATTAGCGAGTTCTTCGTAGGAAGACTCGAGAATCGTGTGAAAGATGCGTGAAAATATGACAGTTTAACGCGAAGCGGTGTAATTTTGACGGTGAAAATTTGTCTGTGTGTGTGGGAAAAGCATTGAAGGTTGATTGAAATTTGGTTCTGAGGAGAGCTTGATGTTTCATTCAGAGTGAAATTGCTTTAACTGTATAATTCGTTCAAGTTGTTTTAATTTTAATTATTCCTTTTTTTAATCTTTCGACAGAAGTACAGCGGACGTGGAGACTCGTTGATCGATCTGAAGCCGCTTGTTTATTCTAGCGACACGGAGTGAAACCGCGGGGAATGCTGGGAAACGGAGAAAAACGCAGGGAACTCGAAGAAGGATCATATTTCCACGTCGAACGGTGGTCAGAGTCGGCCATAAAAATTCTCCAGGTTTTTAATGCACACACATACAGGGGAGAGAAAAAGAGAGAGAAAGGTAGAGCAAGATAGAGCAAGCTAGAAAAATATATAGCAAGGTAGAGCAATATAGAGAAAGATAGAGACATACAGAGAAAAATAAAGAAAGATAGAGACATATAGAGAAAGATAGAGATAAATAGAGACGTATAGAGAAAGATAGAGAAAGATAGAGACGTATAGAGAAAGATAGAGAAAGAGAGAAAGAACGAAAGAGCTGATAACCAAAAAAATAGGCCGAGAGAGCATGATGACGAATCGAATCCCTAAAACAACTGGATATATATATGTATTTATCGAACTGAGGAACATCGATCACGTTGATCGCAAAGATCGATAAGAATTGTCGAAGGTTTCCTCGGGGCTTTTATCGAAATGAAAAGCCATCGTCGTAGAAGGGCGCGTTTAACGAAGCTTGCGCGTCTCTCCGCGGGGATTAATCGATCATCGATTACGATACACTCTCGAAACGGTCCCTGAGGAACAAACAAGCTTCCTAGAGAAAAGAGAAAGAGCTGAAACTGGAATTCAACGAGAGAGAGAGAGAGGGGTAGTAGAATAGTGACTGGACGATAAGATAAGGCTTGGTTCGAGCTTCTTTCCGCGGAACACCGTCGCCAAGATCCGACGATAGCTTTCACCATGATTACTGGAAACAGTTAATCGAGTCGCGCCACTAAATCGCTCGTTTTCTCCTCGTATCGAGGCGGACGATCGATCCAACAGAGGAGGGAACAGAAGAATGAACTTCGAAAATCTCGATGTCGACCGCGACGATGATAAAATGCTGCGTCCGTGTCCTTACAAGGAGGACACTCGGTTATTTAATAGTCGAGGCGAGAGGGAATTGGGAAGCTCGGGGACAGGTGTAATTATGAGGTAGAATTGAGAAATTGGGATAGCTGAATGTAACATTCGGAGATGGATCCTTAATTTTTTGCGATAGAAAAATATATTTTCTATGCGTAACAAAATGTTCTGATAGCGATAATTTAATAAAGACAATTTTGTATTAATATAAGGACCCAGAAAAAGAATTCCTTAATTAAATGCAACCTTCAGACATGAATGATTAATTTTTGGGAACAGAAAAATGTATTTTCAACGGTTAACAAAATGTTCTGATAGTGATAATTTAATAAAGACCAGAAAACTATTTTTAATTAATTTTACATTGGTATAAGGACCCAGAAAAAAATCTTTTAATTAAATACAACCTTTACACGTGAATTTTTAATTTCTTGGAACAGAGAAATGTATTTTCAATGGTTAATAAAATGTCCTAGTAAAGATAATTTAACAAAGACAAGAGAATTGCTTTTAATTAATTCTGAATTACTATAAGAACCAAGAAAAAAATGTTTCTTTAAATATATTATAACATTCAGAGAAGAATCCTTAATTTTTTGGAGCAAAAAAATATATTTTCAATGATTAATAAAATATCCTGGTATTGGTCATTTACTAAATAATAGAGTGGCGACTACGTACCTGGCGACTCTTGGCCCTCGAGGCGAACATCTCTGGGTTTCTTCGTCCTCGAGGACAAGAGTATCGCCTTGGCAATGTAGGCCCGTGCCCCCACGTCCTGGGTCTTTCCCAGGGAAAAAGAAAGCCCCGAATAAGACATGAGGCTTTTTTGTCGTAGACGTTCTTCCTACATGCCTCGTGTCGCCTATACATTAAAAATAGTTCAAGCGTTATCTGATTTTCACAAATATATATTTCTGTTAAGCAACATTCGCGAGTAATTCTCTTACACCACGTCCCTTCCAAGGGAGAACTGCTATTAATTAATTTTTCATTTGTACAAGAAAAAATTGTTACAAAATTCAACGCTCAGGTATTACAAACCTACATACGTAACGGTGAAAAAAATTCCCAACACATCCTCCCTCACAGCCCCAAAATTATCCATCGCCTCCACCAGTAATTCCCATCCACCTTCTCCTCCTTCTCTTCCAACCTGACAGCAACGGTCGAAGAAAAAACTCGCCTCGCTCCGCCGTCGACCTTCCCTCTCGTTGATCCCGAGGAATCGTGGAAATCCCAGGACAGAAGGAACGGCCGGTTCTCGGATAAAAGCATAATCGCGTGCTCGTTCCGATGACGCGGACTCAATTTAAACTGTCGCGTGGAGCAACTGGCAAGAAGCGACGAAACGAAGAGGGATGAAGGAAGAGGATCCCGAGAGGATTCACGCGCACGCCTCGTTCCGCTCGGTGGTTTCGCGCGTCGCGACGCGTCTCGTCGTGACGAGGGTACGGTTCTTTCGTTGTATCCCGAGCGCTCCTTTGCTCGTGTCACGCGAACCGTGGCCTTTTTGCACCGAATGCAACCACCTGGTCGATAGTTACGTGTGCGGAAGCAACACGAGCAATCTAGACGAACGTACGATATCTTCTTTTTTTTCTTTGTTTGTTATTAGACGAGAGAGGTGGACGGTAAAAGGACGGATCTTATGAAAAAGTTGCAAATTTTAGGAAGTGTATACATTGGCGGAGAGATGAAGTTTACTTAGAAACACAAAGATGTGTCGTTTTTTTCGAGTATGACGATCCAGAGATAGAGAGTGAGTCTCTACTTTCGCAGTCGACGATTGAAGCCACTCTCTGGTGGAATCATGAATATTGATGGTGGCGGGAGTCGTCGCGAATGAAAATGATGGAACAGAAGGACCGTGTAATGAGTTATTCAAATTTTGTTTATCCCGCGCGCGTGGATTCCACGCTGTCAAAGTGGCTTCCGATCTTTTGACAGAGGAGCGGCTCTTCTTCTTTCCTTGATGAACTCACGAATTTCACCTGTCTTTTGATCGTTGCGCGCGGCAGCGGTGAAACGGTGAAACCGGGGGAAATATTCGAGGCTGGTGGAATATTGAGGGATTAATTTTCACTGGGAAATGTGGATTATCGCGGAGATATTCGAGGATGATGAAGAAACGCGCGTGTATTGTGAGAGCAAAGTGTATATTTCGACAAAAGGGAGAGAGAGAAAGATCCAGAGAAAGAGAAGCTCAGAGAAATAAAAATTCAGGGGAGGAGAAATCCAGGGAAAAAGAAATCCAGGGAAAGGGAAATCCAGGGAATCACAGATCCAGAGAAAAAGAAATCCAGGGAGTGAGAAATCCAGGAAAAGAGAGATCCAGGGAAAGAAAGAGAGAGAGAGGTGAGTGGGAGATCCAGAGAAGAAGAAATCCAGGGAGAGAGATCCAGAGAAAGAGATATCCAGGAAAAAGAGAAACTCAGGGAAACAGAGATCCAAAGAAAAAGAAATTGAGAAATTGAGAAATCCA